CGTTTTTGAAATTATCACACCCCAGTGAAACTGAATTATCACAGGGGGTGTGATAATTCTTTACTCCTTTTTTTTTTCCCAAAAAAATAGTGATCGCAAAATCAAAAACTTAGGTCACACCGAGGTTCGAACTCGGGTTGCCAGATTCAAAGTCTGGAGTAATAACCACTATACCATGCGACCTGATTGGTCGAGTACTTCTTGGAACGTTTATGAGTGGATCGCGTGTCACGTGCATCACACGCTTCATGTGATATATTCGCTATGTCATATGATTTATCGCACTGGGTGCCGGTACAGGGGATCGTAGTTAATAACAAAAAATCGGTAAGGAACATCCAGATCTGGGACTCACTGGAATGGATCAAAGGAGTTAGAGCTAGGAGATAGAACTGCGTCTGTGAAGATGATACAGAGAACGAGGGCGAGGAAGAAGACGAGGAGGGGAAGATCTGGTCGGTTCAGGACATCTATCACGGCCTCGCACCAGCACAGCTGGTCCGCGACTGGAAGCGACTTTTCGAGACAACAAAGGAAGTTGCATTATGCATGGCCGCCAAGTTCATAGGCCGCCTGGAAGAGTATGGTCGCACCGAGATCTGGGGAAAGAGGTGTAACATCACGGTTGAATGGGAGCAAAAGGAAGGAATTACAAGTCAAATGAAGCGCGCCAAGGGAAATAGTCAGTTCGTTGCACCTCAAGGAACGAGGATGGAGGTGGATCTGAGAGATGCGGATACGCAAGCTATGGCGCATTACCATGGAAGGAAGTATATGAGCGTTATGGAGCGCTTAGGAGGGCTAAAAACTGCTTTATTGGCAATGAGCCATGACCCATAAAGACGCCTGAGTCGCGACAGGTCACGTATAGGTCACTTCGGGTGCTCATGCGACATAGGTTGTGATAAGGTACTCTTCGCTGAAATAGGCTTCCGTAGGTAGCTGGTTTCGATATAGTGGGTAGTACTGGCAGTTTATTCTGCTCCATACCTAGGGGGTCCTTGTTGTGGTTGTCCCCGGATAACTGTCGTTTTCACATATTTTCTATCCTTCGAGAGCGAGGATGTTGGCGAGGCGCGGTTTCATTCTTCTGTGATCATAGTCATCATGTTGACGCATTTACGTCCTTGCAGGGCCAAAATAACCTTTCACTTAGGTTGGATATCTCGTGCTGCTATTTGCGCATGCTTTGTGCGACAGATTCTCAATGATGGTTATGTATCTTGACAGCCTGTTGCTGTATAATCTGTCGTGAATGCATGGTATACACGCGTATTTTCTAGACGTCAACCTTCACGAAGACGTGATTCCAACAAAGTCAAGTCGACGACATCAATACTGAGTGTTATGGGTGTCTTTCGAGGACGCGTGGTGCTCAAGAACGCCCAGTTTGGTTGGTGGCAAATGACTGATCGACTTGGTCTGAACGTGGCTTGTCTTCACCCCTCCCCATGAATACCTCGAAAATCTCACAACATCCCTATCCCCCTATAGTCGTAATAGTTTTTTTTTTTCTTGTACCCCCATCTCATCGTCGCGCCTTCTGCTCGACAGATGCTTCATCACAAAGTCATCAATCCAACAGGTCGCGACATTCTTGGCCGCATCAATCTCCTTTGCCCATCCTAAACTGTTGCATCTTTCTCAACTCCGCTTTTACTTTGTTCCTCGCATCACCCTTCTGACACGCATTGCTTGCGGTCATCTAGTCATCTACAGAAAAAAAAAAAAAAAAAAAAAAACGAGAGCATTCATTCGACACAGCATATAATTTGATATAGAGCAGGAAAGAGAGAGGCGACGGCAAAATACAATCAGTGAACATGGAGCTCGTCTTTGATGTAGACGACTTTGACGGTCGTTCATCAACCGACCTCTTCACAACGTCCATCCCGGTCCTGCCACCAGATCTACTACTCAATTGTCTCCAGTACCTGCCAATATCATCCCTACCAGCGGTCGCCCAGGCATGTCGTCGACTCAAGGTCATTGTGTATAGTGATGAGCTCTGGGAATCCAAGCTGCTTGCGATGGGCTTTGGATTCGGTAAAGGAAACAGACAAAACGAAAAGGACGCAAGTCTGTTGGATGGACCTATCGACTCTTTACCACGATTCCCCATCCAAGGGTCCAACATATCAGAGACAACACAGAAACGGATCTCTGCCAACACAGCCGAGGCCATCAAGGGATCGACCTCAACCATCAACGGCCGACTGAGTCTGTCGACTCTCTCTGACGATGTTCGGTCAAGTCAAGAGTCAGAACATGGGACAATAACAACAAAACCTCGATTCCACATACCCGGTCTGCCAGGAGACCCATACTCCATGATCCAGGGCAGGAAAGCGAATCAGGGGGCAAGGGAGCAGTTCAAACAGATCTATAGTGAACTTTGGCCCTACTACATCGACTTTCGGCAGGCTAACAAGGACAGCAAGGTGATTCAGGAGTTTGGGAAATCGGTCCTGGATGTTGCCAGGATGCTCGCCCGACTTTTAGCCTTTTCCAAGGCGCATCTCGCTACGGATTCAGAACAGGTACGACATGAGGTTCGTCCTTTAAGCAAATCAAATAAGCGTCGAGGAAGCTAACATTGTAGTGTTGCCTTAACAGATCAACGAGAACTTGCATGGGACATGTGAATACTTTGAGAATCGATGCCTTCATCTTTTTGAGGTTGCATATGACACGCGGGACATACCAGAGATGGCTGTAAGAGGAGATGCGACAAGGACTTTCTTTAACGATGGACGAAAAATCTAAGACAACCACCAGAGATATTGATATTGACATGTTCTTTCTATTCCACCTCACTTGCAACAGAAATTCGCAGGAGTGCTCCTGGATCTTAATGGCGCCCAGGCGTGCATCCAGATCTTTATCCAAAAGAACGGCATCTTTTTTGACAACAATTATGAGCCAGGCGAAAATCTAAAGTAATGTATTTTCTTCAAACCGGACCGAATACCTCCATGGGCGTCAACCTAATGGTTGGCGTACTGCCCGTCTTAAATTATCAATCTGCTCTCGCCATTAAATGTTTCTGTACCATTAATTGATCACCTTTTCTTTCCATCATATGTAGGCAATATGAGATTTGGTTATCGCAACCCGTGGTTGTACGCGAGAATATGGCATTTCCAGAGTTCACACCGCTCAGGCTCTTTATGGAGTTTACAGAAATGGAATTTCAAAAGCAAGGGATCATCATCCACGACGTGTTCCCAGAGGAGGCTGATGTATTGTTCAACTTTACTGAGCGCGTGTTTGAGGACGTCATTTCGGAATATTGCTCGCAGCTCTTTGATCTTTGCAGCATGCGAGATAAACTGTTGTACCTGAAATCAGTACCGACCGCATACCGGTACCTGGAGCATTTGGAGCAGACGTTGATTAAGATGGAACCAATCCATGTACCCCGGTACCGGATTGAGAAATTATTGGCAAGGGTTTTTGCACCATGGTTGGAGCAGTATCTCAAGCAGGAACTGGACTGGGTCCAAAAATCATGCAAGGACCAGATCGACCGACACGAGAAACAGGTATGTACCTGGCAGCCAGACGTCACCTTATTTGTCTATCATATTTCATTTATTCACTCATGATCCTTCTCCTCTCCCAGCGCGATGGCAACAAGAACTCTGAGGCCAAGCGCATGAACCCAAGGAATCGGGAAGTGTTCAAACGGAACTTTTTGAAGGGGTTCCGGAATGTCATTACACTTCCATACAAAATTTCGTCATCCATCGTCGCCGGCGTCACTGCTTCAACCTCTTCTGGTCCTTCGTCTTCATCTGGACCCGGTCCCTTGACTCCACCGCCTCCTTCATCATCTTCCGCAACATCTATATCCAGTTCCACAACAGCAAGTACCTCGACAACAACCGTCACCACCATCAACACGACAGCTCCATCAAAAAGGAGCAGCAATAGGTTTTCGATTCGATCTATAACCTCTGTGACGGGATCTAGTCAATCTGGTCCCAACTCAGCATCAGCACCCGATACACCGACAGTGGGGTCTCCACCGGCATTTGTGCCCGATAGGAAATCCATGTCGCTTGCGAGCGATGCGGACAGTATGAGCATCAAGAGTGCACCTGGAGGAGTAGATTCAAGTCAGGTCGTGACGGCACAGGAGGTGGAGGAGGAGATGAATTCGCTGCTGAGTGTTGAGCTAGCTCTACACCTAATTCATTTGGACAAGGATGCACTCCAGCGCTTGTCTGCGTTTGCGGGTCTGGGTGGAGTTCTCGGAGGGCGTGTGTAAGTCGAGTCTTATTTTTCTACTATCCTTTGTACGATATGTTTATGGGTTAAAAAGACAAAGTTATTATATGCTGACTTTTTTTCGATATGTCTTTCTGTATCTTTTTGTAGACAAAAGACAATCGAATTAGTTTTCATTGCGTTGCTTCGATCGATGGGACAGCAGCATATCAAACCAGGATTTGCAGCGTAGGAACATATCCCCTTTGAACTCCATTCCGACTCTTGACTCATTAGCAAGAAAATCATGCAACTAACCTCTTTTTTGTTTGTGATAGTGCGATACAACAGTTGGGTCGGTACAAGCCCACGACAACACACGGTGGTGGGGTGACGCCGTTGATGGATTTCTTTGAGTTGGTTCATGTGGCGGATTTGATCCTGCAAATGGTCCAGGTGTACTATGCAGAGGAGATGTGCAAACATATCGACAAGATGGACTTTTTGAACGAGGCCAACAAGGAAAAGAAGGCCTTTGAGCGTATGATTGATGATGGTGTTGCTGCTGGACTGGATAAGAGTATCGAGGTTTTGATCGGACAGGTCCAGTTCATCCTGACGACCATGCAGCTTCCTACGGATTATAATCCAGACGAGAACACTGACATTGAGTTGCAGCCCACACATGTAAGGAATCGATAAGAGGAAAAGATGGCTCAAAAAGAAAAAAGGCGATGAATAATTTTGAGAGGAGAATAACAAGAGATATGAATGTATGACTAACAAAGGAAGCTGGGGGAGCGAACAACCTCTTTTTATTTTTATTTTTTAATCCTGAAACTTTAGGCCTGCAAAGAAGCGGTGACATGCTTGACGACACATACAAAGATGCTGATCGGATGCACGGACAAGCATACGTTGGATGTGTTCTTTCAGGAACTCGGTCTACGTCTCTTCAATTGTCTGACAAA